CTAATTCATCCTACAATCATGTATAAACACCAAATCCAAAGAAATTGCTTTCTTATCTCTCTTCCAGTATCGTATGGTGCGGTTGGTAAAAAGGAATCACAAGAACTCTAAAGTTATTTGCCTATGATTACATGTAAACCATTAGGTTGTTCAGTATTTCGTAATGAAATCTGTAAAAAGTTCATTTTTGAAGAAAGGTGCCTTCGTTAGTCAAATTGGTTCAAACCATGGAGGTGGCCATTTTGGTTCAAAAACATCTAATTCATCCTACAATCATGTATAAACACCAAATCCAAAGAAATTGCTTTCTTATCTCTCTTCCAGTATCGTATGGTGCGGTTGGTAAAAAGGAATCACAAGAACTCTAAAGTTATTTGCCTATGATTACATGTAAACCATTAGGTTGTTCAGTATTTCGTAATGAAATCTGTAAAAAGTTCATTTTTGAAGAAATATGCCTTGGTTAGTCAAATTGGTTCAAACCATGGAGGTGGCCATTTTGGTTCAAAAACATCTAATTCATCCTACAATCATGTATAAACACCAAACCCAAAGAAATCATTATCAAATTGCTTTCTTATCTCTCTTCCAGTACCGTATGGTGCATGGTTGGTAAAAAAGCAATCACAAGAACTCTAAAGTTATTTGCTTATGATTACATGTAAACCATTAGGTTGTTCAGTATTTCGTAACGAAATCTACACAAAATTCATTTTTGAAGAAAGATGCATTGGTTAGTCAAATTGGTTCAAATCATGGAGGTAACAATTTCGGTTCAAAAACATCGAACTTATCCTGCAATCATGTGTAAACACCAAACACAAAGAAATCAGAATAAAACTGCAAAACTTGCATATAAAAATCAGTAGCGTGAGATCATAAAAAAATACATTTAAGTAGAGATCATAATGGTGTATATAATGATATTGCTGTGATAAGGAGAGATCATGCGGCGATATGAATGACTGTACTGTTTCACATTTCGCGCGCGAAAATAAATCTAAGGTACTTTCAGTTTCATTCCATGGCTCTGGGCAGTGCCTTCGTGTTGTGTTACAGTTACATCGTTTAGTGAAATCAGTGGCTTTTGATAATATGGGTAGCCGATCGAGACGTCTGTTAAAATTAGCGACTATTGTTAAAGAAGGTTCGTTCGTTCGTTAATTTATTATTAACACTCCACGAGATCGTTTACAGTTTTGTATTGCTTCTGTCCGTTTGTCTGTCTGTCTGTCCGTGCCAACTATAACTTTGTTTAGAAGCGTCCGATCACTTTGAAAATCGATACACATGTTCTTAAGGATATAAGAAACGTCGCTATTGTTTTTGGGCTAAGTAAACTATCGGGTCAAAAAATTATAGCACAAAGCCGCCTAAACCTCCAGAGTTGGACTGGGTCAAGCATAGAGTGACCCAGTGACCCGGTTAGTTTACTGACCCAGTGACTCGGTACCCAGTTGACCCGGTGACCCAGCTTGACCCGGGGACCCAACTTGACCCGGTGATCCAGTTTGACCCTGTGGCCCAGCTTGACCCGGTGACCCAGCTGGACCCAGTGACCCAACTTGACCCAGCTTTACTCAGTGACCCATCTTGACCTGGTGCCCCAGTAATTAAATTATTGTTAGGTATCATCCAAAACAATTTCAAGTATCTTTTAATTTAAAAAAAAACTTCCTCAATAATATTCGCCAACAAGCACGTAGCCCAATTTCATTCAAATGCAATTGTTTATAGTTTGTAGTCAAGTAGTCAATGAAAGTATTTAGAGAAAAGATTTATTTGGATTAAGCTAACTAGTAGAAAAAAATTAAATGTGAATGAATACCTGTAAGCAAACTGGTAAGCCCTGAAGCAAAGAAATGAAGGAGGGAACTGTTTAGAAATAACATTACTCTAATACAATTCGGGACATGGAAAGTTTTTTACGGCAGTATTAAATCAAACATCACAGAAATGGCAGTTGTCAAGCAATCGAGTATTATTTTCAACAAACCAGCATTTCATTTATTTCATAATCTGTACACTTGAACCGAGGGCACTGACTTAACTGCGTTGTTCGATCAAACTAGGTTACTGGGTCGAATTGGGTCCCCGGGTGAAATTGGGTCGCTGGGTCAAACCGGGTCACTGGGTCAAACTGGGTCTAACTGAAAAGAGTATGACATGACCCAGTTTAATTCAGTGACCCAGTTGACCCGGTGACCCAGTCCAACTCTGCAAACCTCCAAAAAAGGGTTTCGTTTATAATTTCTGTTACAAAGAACATATAAATGTCTGGTTTTCTGTGTTAGTAAATACTCTTTAAACCGCAAGCAACTGTGCAGATGCAAAAACTTTTGTATTTGTGCAATCCATTTTTTGTTAAGATATTTAAATGAAATTTTGTATGTAGGCACGGGCACCTTAGATAAAAGTAAAACTAATGCCGATTTAAAAAATTATTTTACAAGCTATATTTGGTGGGACAGAAGAATCAACCCTTTAAAGTATGTTGTAAAAATGATGGGTGCGTGAAGATCTCGAGGATCGTTCGGTATTCAGTTGTATCGGGTTTTTCACTCTGTATCTTTTCTAACATTCTTTAACAGATAGGACGGATCAGGATAACTGTTACAACAATAGTTCTATAGTTCAAGTAGAGGAGGACCCGTGGGAAGCATTTAATAAATGGAAGGAAAAAAACGTTACTTCCAAGTGTCAAGTAAGTGCTTATAATGATATAAAGATATGTATTATGTAAACGTTTGTGTAACATTTTAGGATGCAACGAATAATGAGCAAAGTTCCAAATCGCCCACCGTATTTATAGACTCATCGGTAAGCTATGATACTTATTGAATAGTCCCTTTTGAATATACACGATTCTTAATCTTTTCTATAAGTCACTAGTTTTTGGTCTAGTAAAACAAATAACTATTATCTGCATAGACGTTATAGGATTCTTGCGTGAATTAAATGGTATCTAAAACACTTACACAATAAATAACTATTATTCTAGACTTCATGGAAGCCTGATGAAAAGAAGAAAGGTGGTGCTCTCTCATCCCGTACTAGCCTGTCTGAGGTAATAGATGTCGTAGAACCAATTTCCTGCAAGGTAGTAATAGTTTAGTGTGTCCTCTTGTTCGCAGCATATGAAAAACTTTTTTTTATTATTAACATTACGAAAAAAAGTTATTCTTCATAAAAAGTTCAGCACGGTCTGAAACTTAAAGTATTCCACTTTCAGATTTCAAATTTTTTTAATCGTATACGAGGTATGTCAAACGATATGAATTTTGCTCAAGAGTATCTTTACTTGTTATAATATCGAAGAATATAATTCTGGGAAATTATCAAATTTTTGAGATTGAGTTATTAACAATCCTCGAGATCGTTTATAATTTTGTATTGCTGTTTGTATGTCCGTCTATCTGTATCTGTCTGTCCGTGTGCGCTATACCTTTGTATATAAATGTCCGATCGCTTTGAAAATTGGTACACATGTCCTTAAAGATATAAGAAAGGTCGCTATTGTTTTTCAGCTATGTAGACTAACGGGCCAAAAAGTTACAGCCCAAAAACTTCGCACACCTCCAAAAAAGGGTATCTTTTATCATTCTTGTTACAAAGAACATATGAATGTCCGGTTTTGTGTGTTAGTAAATATTCCTTAAACACCAAGCAACTATGCAGGTGAAAATGTGCGCATGCGCAACCCAACTTTTGTATTTGCGCAATCCAATTGTAATACCTCTATCAATAATAAAAAGATTTCTCATATGCTGCGAACCTAAGAGGATGCCCTGTATAAGGCGTTTGATAAATTACCAATTATTTCAGCAGCAAGAATTTAAAAATGTGAGTACAAGTGACGAACCAACTGATCTGATTAATGATTGTACTGAAGCTGCGGTTTACGGAAGCTGTTCCATAAATAAAGCAGATGAGGACCCATTTAATAAATCTTCTGAATTTTTGCAACTTAAGGTAGATACTAATTTTCGTTTTATTCTAATGGTACGATATAGCAGAGAGCAAAACTATTAAAGAAAAACGTTTTTGCGTCAAATAGTTCGATAGACTTTCACTGAATTAACCTAAATCAGTCTTAATAATTTGCATTAAAACGTAGTGTACGTAGACACTTGTTTAGACAAATACGATCTCTCTGAAAAGATCTGAGAAATCAGCAATAGACATTGTCATAGGAGATTTGTATGTTCAGGGGTAAAATTTACGCACTGTATATCAATACACTAAAACCCAACACACACACGCACACAAAACTGATCGTTTTTTGTTTGCATACAGGAGGAAACTGAAGTACAAGGTCCCTCCAATGTGAAGATTTTGCAGAATATTGTTGTAAGTTAAAATTTGGTTTTAGTGAATTGAAATGAAATCACTACATGTTATCGCAATAAATTTTAGATAAGACCTGCCGTTAAAGTTGCTTCACCTGCGCAAAGAAATTTTAACCTAGAAGTGAGTACCAAAATGTTGACATGCAGTAAAGTGTACTGTGGCAGTATTGAGTCGTAAAGTTTGTCATGTACAAGGCTGAAATTTTCAGATGTGCCATATTAGTCAATCATGTTTAAGTACTTACAAGTTTTTTTAATAACACGATTGAGAGTTGGAATGCTATACCTATTCAGTAGATGTCACATAATAATATAATAGTATCCATAGGTGCCTTCAGAGTTGGACTACTGGGTCACCTGGGTCACTGAATTAAACTGGGTCGCTGGGTCACGTCATACTCTCTTGATCAGTTAGACCCAGTTTGACCCAGTGACCCGGTTTGACCCAGCGACCCAATTTGACCCAGTAATCTAGTTTGATCGAATAACGCAGTTAAGTCAGTGACCTCGGTTCAAGTGTACAGATTATGAAATAAATGAAACTTAATGCTGGTTTATTGAAAATAATACTCGATTGCTTACAACTGCCATTTCTGTGATGTTTGCTTTAATACTGCCGTAAAAAACTTTCCATGTTCCGAATTGTATTATAGTAATGTTATTACTAAACAGTTCCCTCCTTCATTTCTTTGCTTCAGGGCTTACCAGTTGCTTACTGGTGTGCATTCACATTTAATTTTCATCTACTAGTTAGCTTAATCCAAATAAATCTTTTCTCTAAATACTTTCATTGACTACTTGACTACAAACTATAAACAAATGCGTTTGATTTTTTAGGTATTAGTTCTCTTGAATGAAATTGGGCTACATGCTTGTTGGCGAATATTATTGAGGAGGTTTTTTTTAAAAAATTAAAAGTAACTTGAAATTGTTTTGGATGACAAAATTTAAATACCAATACAAACCTAATGCTATAAATTTGAATAAAAATTAACTTTAAGATATTCCGGATACCTACCAATAATTTAATTTTAATTACTGGGTCACCGGATTCAACTGGATCAACCTAGGGGTCAACGGTTTAAACTGCGCCACCGGGTCAAGATGGGTCACCGGGTAAAGATGGGTCAAGCTGGGTCACAGGGTCAAACTGGGTCACTGGGTCAAGCTGGATCACCGGGTCAAACTGGGTCACTGGGTCAAGCTGGGTCACCGGGTCACTGGGTCAGTAAACTAACTGGGTCACCGGGTCACTTTATGCTTGACCCAGTCCAACCCTGGGTGCCTCAAGTGGACCCTAGGCCACCTACTGGTATTATTACCTAACATAAAATCTACTGAATAGAATTAATTAGTGATACATTGAGACCTATTTACTACAAATTGTCCTGTGCTTTAAGTAAATTAATTTACGTACAACATAGGCGATCTGACCAGAATAATAATTGAAATTCCCATTATAATATCATCATTTCATTGGGATATTTCTTTTATTTTATTTCCATTTGCAGATAGCCTGTGCAGAAATCTATTGTGCAATACTTTACGACTTAAAATTGTCCAATTAGAAAAGTACATAACAATAACACTATACAGGGTATACATTCAGAACAAATACATATTTAAACGCATATTCCTGGGTTCAAAATAAGATTGTTTCTTATCAAATGTCCTGAAAAAATTTATGCCATACCCCTTATTTATGTACGATTTCCTCTAGAATTTGTCGTTTTCTCATGCCTAACTGAAAGGTGATAAAATTTTTTAGTTGAAATAGAAAATTATGGCCATTAAAACTGTAGGCAATCCTCATTCACTCCAAAAATTAGAACATAGTATTTTAATCTGTGATTAGAGTACCTTATTTTTGAAGCAAGAAATAAATATAGTCAAAAAATCAAAGGCCTGTGAATTTTCAGAACATTTGAGCTATAATTGTAGCCATAATTCAAAATTTAATTGGGACTATTGTAGCTTGGTGGGCGTTAATACATGTTTATAGGAAAAAAAGTCCTATTTTGGCCCCATGGAACACGTTTTTAAAATATATATATTGAATTGAACATCTTGTATATTAGCAATTGCTTCATTGTTAATTTTTGTTCTGTGTACCTATGTCGTATAGGTACATGGAGTATTGGGCGATTCAAAAAAGGTGGTAGACATTAGCAATCGGAAAATCAGGCGATGGGACAAAAAGGACAGATGTCTTTATTGTAATCGTGAAATAACAAATTTCTCCAGACACTTATTTCGACATCACAATAAAGAGGAAAGCGTTAAAAGAATAATGGAATTGCCTAAAGGTGACACAGAAAGGAGAAATATGATAAATTTTTTAAGAAAGGAAGGGAATTTAATATTAGTTGACGAAAATAAAATCAGGCCTGTACAAAGAGCAACTTTTAAACCACACTCAAATGATGAAATGAAGGAATTCATGCCATGTCCTTTTTGTAAAGGAATCTATAGGTTGAATTCATTGCGCCAACATTCTAAGAAATGTGTATTTAAACCAAAAGATGAGAATAATCACAATGTTGCCAGCTTAGGGCAAAACTTATTAGTATTTAAACTATCCAGAAAATCATTTTTAGACAAACTAAGACTAAAAGACGAAGTTTTCGCAACCATGCATGCAGACAGAGCATCTTTTAACGGAAAGAGTGACCCAATTATTTGCCAATATGCCGAAGATTATTTACGGAAACACAAACGACCCCATATAAAACATGCGGTGTCAAACAAAATTAGGGAACTAGGAAGACTGCTAATCCCTTTAAAAGATATTTATGGGATTGAAAGTCTATTAGATGCTCTGAACCCTATCCACTATGACAAAGTGGTTCACGCTTCACATATAATTTGTGGATATGACACGGAACAAAAGACATTTAAATCACCTTCGTTAGCAATGCATTTGAAGACCATATTGTTAGGGGCATGCTTGGCAGCCAAAACGCTATTGTTAAAACGAGAATCAGTATTGCCAGTGAATAATTATGTAGAGACCCTAAAGGTTGTAAAAACGTTTCAGTCATTGGTGAACGAAAGATGGAAGTTTGATATGGGAAGCTTGGCCCTAAAGGATTTGAATGAAAAACACAGTAGTAAACCAAAAACTCTACCGATTACAAGCGACATTATCAAATTTCGGGATTATACTACAAGCGTGGCTGACCAATCTATGGCTGTATTAAAAGAAAATATTAGGGACCAGATTTCCTTTAAAAAATTGACGGAAGCGTCTCTTGTTTTAACAATTCTATTAAACAGAAAAAGAGTTGGCGATGTACAATACATAAAACTCAACACATATTTAGAGAATCAATCTAGTGATGAGCAAGAAGAATGCATGAAGGCTTTGTCGGAGTCAGAAAAAATGTTATGTAAACATTTCAAAAGGATAGTGACAATTGGGAAGGGAAGCAAGTGTGTCCCAATTTTGTTTCCAAAAAACGGACAAACATACATCGACACTCTTTTAGACGCACGCAGAGGAAATGATTTAATCCCAAAGGAAAATCCTTATCTTTTTGCGGCTATTGGTACTAAAGATAAATGGGTAAACGCATCACAAATTCTGCGTAAATATTCAGAAAACTGCGGAGCAGCGAATCCAGGAACCTTGAGATCTTCTCGTTTACGAAAGCAGATAGCTACAGTTCTACAAATTTTACATTTGAACGAATCGGAGAAGGAACAAGTGGCATCATTCATGGGGCATACCAAAAAAACTCATGAAGAGTATTATCGGTGAGAAATATACATAATACTTCGTCCTTAACCAATGCGCTATAATTTTTTAGGTTGCCGCAGGATGTGTATCAGACTGCGAAAATATCTAAATTGTTATTAATAATGGAAAAGGGAGAAGGAGCTGATCATCAAGGTAAATCCCTTCAAGAAATTGACGTGGAATTGGAAGCTATGAATGACGATTGTAAACGTAAGTAATCATTTTCTTGATAGGTACTGTACTTTGACAACCTTTAAAAACATGCCTTCCTGGCAATAGTTATTGTAGGAGAGCTGGTAGACAATTTTGGGTAGGTATTTGAGGCACGCTGAAAACTTGTCCAATGCTTCTTGAAGAACACCTAAACACAGAATTGCTGACCTGGCCGAGGAGAAGAAGGGCGAAGGGTCACAGTAACGAATTTTTGCAGATCAACCCTTATATTTGTAAAGATACGATTTTTTTTTGCAAAAAATGACCTTGAGGCATTTCGAAATTTTTATTACCTTTAAATGTAATACTTAAAGAGCGAAAAAATCAAAAAGCGAGATTATTTAGTCGGGTCTTACACTTTGCCAGACGCCTTCAAAGTTTGAAAGAATGTACACTTGAAATTTAAACCCTACGCTGTCGTTGTAAAAATGTTGGGATCTTAATAATATATTGAATGAATGAGTATCGAAAAGTTGCCAACACTTTTTCAACGACAACTCACCCTGTATATGTCAACTGTTATTGAGTCTTCGAAAAAAATTTTACCTATTTTGCTGTCACATTACGTTTTACAGAATCTGACGACGAAGGAGAAAATGATGCCGAACCGCAAGTGCCAGAAAATGATATTGAAGATACCAAAATCAATGAAGAACCTGAAATAGTAATACGAGATAAAATAAGTAAAACATATTTAATTCAAACAACTAACCATATTGACTCTCTTCTTCCAGGAAATGTTACTGTAACAAACAAGGGGTCAGAAGGAAATAAACGGGGAAAGTGGAACACTATACAAAAGAACATCATGAAGGATGTTTTCAAAAAACACATCAAAAATAAAATACCACCTAAGAAGCATGAATGCATGAAGCTAAAGGACGACCATAAAGAACTATTTGAGCAGAAAACTTGGGTCCAAATAAAAGTGTTTGTTTACAATACCTTTAAATTTAAAAAAGAATAACAACCTCGCTCCTATGATGTATTTCAACCGTTTTTTACTGAATTTGTCTATTTTATTTCAATTTTTAACTTGACAGTTATTCACAAATCTTTAGTTTGTGTGACTTTTCTTTGAGCGTTGTTATTATTTGTGTAACAAAAAGAAGTAAAATGTAGGGAATTTGTCTACTACGCAATAAAGTTTTTAATTGGTAGGTAACTTATTTATTTCTTACTTTTCCACATAACACAAATCCGAATGTGCCATTTGTTCATAGTGGTAAAACACTTTCGTCGGTGTTTTGAAAACTATTCTAATAGGCCATCTGCAAATATGAGATAAAATCCTACAAATACTTATTAAATATCAATGTTATTAACTACATCTACTTGCTAATTGAACGTCACCTACAAGAGATCTTCAAACGAATGAACCTACTCGTCCCTGCAAAATTAGACATTATAATTATGTAATCTTAGAAGTTCTATGCCGGGTTTCAGAACCGATGATGACAAATTTTTTGTTTAGGCATTAGATTTACTTTTATTCGACGTATCTACATACATTTCATGCAATTCGGTTCATAATTAACGGAGATGTCAAAAAGGCCTTCCTTATTTTTTGGCCTATATTGCCAATTCACGAACTCCGATCTACAAATTTGATAAAAGAATCCACCTGCAAAATTTCATCGAAATCGGTCCGCGCGTTCTCTTAAATCGATGGACGTGGTTCCAGCGAGCGATTGGGAGAAAGCATAACCGTCTCGTTAAAAACTCGACGCTAAAATTGGATTGCTCATGAGCAAAACAAATTTTTTTATTAGGCATTAGTTTTACTTTTAGTGGAGATGCCTACATACAAAATTTCATTTAAATATCTTAACAAATAGTCTACGTAACTGAATACCAATAGCGACCTTGTGTATATCAATTTTCAAAGCGACCGGACATTTGTAAACAAAGTAATCGTGCACACGGAGAGACAGACAGCAGTACAAAATTATAAACGACCTCGAGGATCGTTAATAAACAAGCTTAATAAAAACTTTGCAGATTGTCTAAGATATTCACAAATAGTAATCGCTGCAGTCTTCTTTTGGTGTAGTCCTCCAATATTTGCTGACGGGTACTCCCACTGACCCTCTTATTTTTGTGCTTACTAAACTAAACGTTATTTTACATTTCTCCTCACAATCCACCAGTTTAATCTCTTTAATACAAATCCGCCCTTTTAACGTACCGTGGATTAGGAATAATACATACGAGGCAGCAGATATCAAATTATTTACGTTAAAGCACACGTAGTACAGCTACCTATTACATTATTTGCTATCGCACTTTAAAGCGAGAGTACCGCTTTGCAATGTTGCCGTTTATTTGGATCTCACATTATTTAAAATATAGCGTATTGTATATAACGTAAGCAGCGCCCCCTAAGATGATCATTCAAGAACTTCGCGTGTATAAATTTTGACAAAAACCTAAAAGTTGAGATCCGAGCGAAAATTGAAATTTAGATTCCTGTGTGATCGACTGAGCTAATAGACTCGATATACACAGTAAAAAAGGCGAGATCCGAAAACGGATCTCGGGTTCACCAAATGGATCTCACCTTATCTGCAATATATGTAAAAATGATCTCACCTTAGCGCTTTTTAAATCTATATATATATATATATAT